AGAGAGAGAGAGAGAGAGAGAGAGAGAGAGAGAGAGAGAGAGAGACTTGATTAATTGATATTAAAGTTTTAGCTATACACTTCCAATTCTATTGAATAAAACCAATCTCTCATACCAATTGTTTTTCCAAAGCCCGTCATGCTGCCACTGACGTCCATTAGGATCACCATATCCTTGCTACACGTGGCCGCCTCGATAAACCAATTACGTACTCTGCAATCGTACTGATCATTAGGAGAATCATCATCGACGTTGTCGTCGTCGTCGTCGTTGTCGTCGTCATCGTCGTCGTCTTCGTTGTCATCATCTTCATCGTCGTCATCGTTGGTATCTTCAAGGTTCGTTCGCCATTGCATAGCAGGATATTGTCGGAGTATACCAGTGACTGTACCAAAGTATTGCCACGACAATGCTGGATCAGATTCATAATTCTGACGAAATACATCGTCCAACGGTTCGGTCCTCGCAATATCTTTAGATACATTTTGCGTGAGATCGTACACGTTGGTTGGTATATGAACCGATGAATAAGTCGTATTAACCGGAATATCGTAGAAGTGCGAGTCCGAAATCAGTTCCATGTCTCTAGAATTATTTCGTAATATCCCCCTTTGTAGATTTGTTTTTATTTTTAACAATATATTATTATTCATATATACTTTCTTTCCAATTTTGTACAAATCTAAATTACTTCTTGCGATTGTGTGAAATATTAGATATTTGAGCAAAAACAAAACTTAAAATTAATTTTACAAATCATCGCACAGTGCAAAATTCTATAATATAATAAATTTAAATTAAAAAAGGCTTTAAATAAATTAAATTATAAGATAAAGGAGCATAAAATACTGGTTCTTTTTGCAAAAAATATTCAATCATTATTCAAATTTATAATTTATTATAAATACAAATGTTTCAATCTTTATTATTCCTCTATAGTTTTAAAAACCTGAATTAAAACCTCTATAGTCTGACTTCTAGTTTAAGGATGACTTAATAATAGAGATAGAGATTTGTATTTAAATCAGATACATTTGTATTTTCACAGATTAATATATAATAATCCAATCACATAAATAACGGATATTTTTCCGTTTCAAAAATAATATTTTTCATAAAAAACGACTTTTATGCTTTTTTTATCTTACAATTTAAATAATATCGTACAAATCTTATCGTGTAATCAAATGTTTTTACGCTAGCAAAAGTTGTAAAGAAAAATGTAATAGAATAATCAATATGTAGAATATTTCATTTCTGATTTTATATGCAATTCGTGTTTAATTTAACTACGCACAATTTAACAGAAAAATAAAAAATATTTTATAGAATTAGAAAAAAAAGAATTACCTTTATTAGTTCCTTAGTCGTTTAAAACGTTTATGGTAACAAATTTCTCCACTATTAATAACGTTGCATATGCATGATTCAAATTTAATCGACAAAAATTCTTGTCTTTTAACCTCAATAACTCCATAACTAATTCTTGTGGCAATTTAAAGAGAAGTAAAGTACAGTGTGTTTGAGGCAGAGCAAATTGCTTACCTGAACACGTTCACATTCTCCTTATGAATGTCACAGTATTCCTTCTTGTTTGCTGAATCATGTCCAATGACAGGACTACATTTGCCGGAAACGTAGGAGAAGTTGTTGTCTAGGAAAGATGGGTCCCAGTTCTCTGCAGCCTCTTCGGCTGCTATTCGAATGCAGGTTACTGCGTCCATCTTTCGACGCAGCATCCTACCTACATTTTCACTAATTATGTTGATCAACTCTTCTCCGGACTTATCTTCAACTCGCGCGTTCATATTTTTGTATTTCTGAAACAATTATTACTGCTTGTAGTACTAACATTTTTTGATATACTTTATCTAAACAATGTTGGAAAAATAAATAGAGATATTTAGAAAATTATATATAAAGGATTTTACGTTATTAAAAAAATTGGTTAAAAAATAAGATATTTCTTCTTGCTATGATAAATTATTCATTATGATAAATTGCAAATTAAGTATTAAAATAGTAAATTAAGCATTAATGTAGATTTATTTTTTATAAATAATTGCAAAACTATAAAGAAATGATGTAATTCGATATTTTTCTTGATTAAATGAATTAAAATGTTATTTTGCGTAGGATTTCTTGAATTCTCAGTGTCTGAAGTTTATTATCTCAAGTAAATACGGATACTTACTTCTAGCAATTCGTCAGGTCGGGCCACTTCGTTTGCGAGTTCCCATAACTCAGTACCCAATTTGTCCGCCCATCTGGCCACACTAGTGAGAGAGTAATAAGCAGTACAATAAAATATACTATAAAGATAAATATAATTAATTTTCTAATTTTGCAAATATTTTTCTTCTGTATATTTTTAATTTTTTAATTTCCTTTTCAATCCGTTTATAATGCATCTATTCAAAGCATGTTCATGACTTGCGTATTTTACAACGCTACTATGCAGAACTCACATGTGCGCATCTTTAGCCAGACATACGACAAACACCAGCACGAAATAAAAGATGAAACATCGACTTGCAATCGTCGGCATGAACAAAACTTTCTGTGTCCGTTTCCTCTTTCTTTTAGTCTTTGCGCTATTTGTTCCTGATGGAACTTGACACTCCTCAATTCTTTAAAAAAACCACAGATGTGCAAAAGCTCACAATAGTAGATCAGGCACTCGATTGGTTGTATGTCTACTGCGGAACAAACTGGCCACGAAGTTCATTTCCAGTTCGATTATTTTTGGCACTCGAGCAGCGCCGTCTTGAAACTCTAAAGCTTCTTTCTTGTTTCCTGGCGTGGATATTAATAAAATCATGCCAGTCAGTCAAAACAGTACCTAAAAAAGTGAAAAAAATTCTTATATTTTTTAGTTTGACCGTAGTTACAAATATCTAATTTTTAAAGCCGGAAAAATCGGTTTTATTTATAAAATCAAGATATTAAATCTCTCTTTTTCTCTCTCTCTCTCTCTCTCTCTCTCTCTCTCTCTCTCTCTCTCCCCCCCTCTCCCTCTCCCTCTCTCCCTCCTAATATTTCATCTACTAATAGGCAATTGAAAATAAACTGTTATTAATAAAAATATGTTATAATAAATATTTTATATTACAGCTGTTAACTCGCACCAAATTCAAAAACATTCAAACAGAAAATTGACATAAAAAATTGTATATTTTGTATAATCTATTATTTTTTTTATAATATTCATCAAGAATTGCATAATATTTCAAATAAAGTAAGTAATAGTAACTCAAATAAAGAATCTGAAATACATATGCTTGTTGCAATAATGAATCAATTGAAATGCATCAATTGAAAAATCATAAAATATTTTTAAAAAACGAAATTCCAATTTTATATGATTCAAATAATTTTTTGAGATGCTGATATCTTAACTAAATTCAAGAAATTTTGAATACTTACAACTTTATTCGGTAATTTTGATATAAAGAACTTTGTTATTCTTTATTTTTGTTAATTATAATATATGTATAATTATAGAGTGCGATTGTTAGAGGTCTTGCATTAACGTGACGAAATATAATATTTAAAATTTTGCAATCATTACACATACATGTAATCATAAAGTTAAAGGAAATCGCAATCTCAAATGAGGGAATACTTTTAAAAGTATTCATCTAGTAGATTCACGTAAGACCTTTCTGAGATGGAATCAAATGACGTCTTATAACACGAATCCTTTACAAATCGCATTGCGTAACATGCATGTAATAACTTACATATACGTTGCAACTAATATGTATGTTCGCGTACTTTTATGTTTATAATTTTATTCTAAAGAAATTTTAATCAGTTTCCATGAAAAATTCGCATTTATTTAATTTTCATGGTTAAACTTCTTCCCAAAAAATATAAAATAAAAAATTTTAATATATTAAGGATGACAAAAATTAAAATATATATACATATAAAGCCGAGAAAAATTAATTATAATTATTTTCAATGACACAATTATAACAAGTATATTTATTCCAAAAATATTGAAAAGACGTTATACATTACATCATATGTCACGAGAAACTTAGCAATCTGCAATGAATATGTTCTACGCATACTACAGTATAATATAAGATTATATAGATTTAAAAAGACTATTACAATGCTATCACGAAATGCAGTTAAATTGATGGCTTAATAACTGCAATGTCACACTCCAATGCTAAAGGAATGTAACATTTTGCAAAAATTATAAACAAATATTTGCATATTATTAGAATATTCTAATCTAATAAGTTATTACATAATTGTCATACAAAATATATATAAAATGTAAAAAAATATGTTTAAATATGAGTAAATATCATTTATATGAATTTTGCGCTCTCTTATTTTCATGTCATTTTCGAGACAACAAATACCAGACCTTTCTACATTGCAATTTTAAGAAATTTACTTTCATATAATCCCTAGCAAAAAATTCTTATATTTCATAATATTTTTAAGAATTTTAAATGTATAAAGAAATTAAAAAAGATTCTGTTGCACCCGCCGTTTTCTGCAGTCAGAATATTCACGACACTCTTATATACATACTCCTCGTTTGTGCAGTAAAAAACAATGTATTTAAGAAACTGGACTCATTTATTAGAGAACGTTTATGAGGAACGTTATTAAGAACGTAATAGCGGACAAACAGGAAATCTATATTGACGTCAAGTTTAAATTTAAAAAAAAAAAAAACTAGAATTATCACTGTTTTTTATCTAATAGAAAATTATGTATCATACGCAAAGCAATTATTACACAAATCTAAATTTTTTCTGTAATCTGTATCACGCGAAAAAAATACTTTGCTACTCTAGCTAGAATTATCACAAATTTAAATTTTATCTATGTTATCTATGTGATTAGGTGCAAAACATATTCAATATCACAGTACTTGCCAGCAATTTTTATTTTAGCTAACTTTCGTATCTAGATAATTTTCGCTACACCTGCAAAATCACTTTTTTTAGTGTCGTCTTTAACAGCAACAAAACAGTGATTTGTCCAAAAAATATTATATGCCTAGTGAGAAATAACAATAGAATCAATATCAAATCGACTTTTATTCTATATATTAATAGACAAAAAAAGTAAAAATCCCGCAAAGCCATAAGGGTCAATATATTTTACAAATTAATTACGTGATTTAATGAATTTTTACAAAGTATAAAACAAAACATGACCAGACAATTTTTATAAAGATCAACTTTTAAATGAATTGTAAACAATACACGAGTTAACACAAGTTATAGATCACATATATTAAGAGTCGTAAAAATTTATTAAATTACATAATTAATGCCACGTGTCAATGAGATAGGGAAGAATTGGAATTCCACTCTTCCATTTTACTACGAGGAGGGAGAAACTATTATATTTATTAGACTTACTGAAGATGGCTTTATAAGTAAATTAATGAATAAATTAAAACAAATATGACAGGTGATGTGAGTCAGCCGCCGGATATATTTTGCGAATAACCTTTATTTCGATGACATTTATTTGCTTCTCGTACGTTTCGACTCTAGTTTTGAGTTATCTTCAGCGCATATTGTAATAAAATGTAATAGTTCGAACATCTCAAAATTCAAACTCCAAGATAACAGACACAACAATCATGAGATGAGCCCCATACTCAATTAGTTAGTCAGCTAATGGTGATGAAAAAAACTCAAGCTCTACCATTATTGAGTCCTTACAAATATCACAAACATCATAAATTGTCAAAATAATAAAGTAATGTCAATAATGTAAAATAAGAGCAATTACAACGAAACTCCGATGTCTGAGATCAGTTACTTATTGATCAATGAGTAACTGATCTCAGACATCGAAATTTCATTGTAATTGCTCTTATTTTACATTATTGACACCTTGCATAGGTTTGTGTTATTTTATACATTCTTTTATAAGTAAAGTCGAAACGTCTAAGTGTTCAAGTTTGTATATATAATTAATTAATAAGAATTTTGTATCGCACGATGACAATGAAAAGACTTTCATGAGCCCGTTATTTTTTTATTATTGATTCTTTCGAAAAAGTTGATTCTTTATTTTTTAAATTTATTAAAACTGAAGAATCTGTAACAGACAAGTGAATGATTAGTTTAAATATCTGCGCGTGCGCACCGGTAAAGTATAAAGAGTGGCATATTTTACCGTCACCAGTAAACACATTTAGTTTACATTCACGCAAGCACAATTCACGCAAGGATCGAGAAGTCAAGAAATTGCAAGAAATAATCAACATGGATTTGAATCACTTGAATGATACTAGTAAACTGTGGCAAACAAACAACAAAAACTTCAATCCACAAAACCAAGACAATACTGAATGGGAAATCGGCTTCCTGGAGAATTGCGAGTTGCTGATGGCACGACTACAAACTAATGTTCCACTCAACATCACGGACACGACTTCTTATTACGGTATCTGTAATATAACACAACAATGTACTATATTATCAGAGTTGTGCTATAAACTGTAATTTAATTAACACACACACACACAAAATTAGAATTTTTAATTTAATTAGTAATTACATTTTGTAATTACTAATTGTTGAAAACAATTAAATAAAGTATAGTAATTACGTACAAATTACAATTATTTAACTGTTAATTAATCAACTGTAATTGTAATTAAACTAAGAGCAATTAATGCTTCATAGAATAATGTATAAATATATCCTTTCTAAAAAAAAAAGCACCTTATCGATATTGTTATGTTCTTGTATGTATGAAAAATAATAAAATTTACTATTTTGTTTCAATTTGTTTATTCAAATTACAAATATTTTTATTCAATTGATATCTCATATCTTTATAGTAGAAATCACCAAAATAATTAAGGACTACAAAAAGTACAAAATAAATTTTTTTACAAATCCATCGTAAACGAAATCATGAAAGTTCACTTATTTTATATTAAAGATATACATTTAGATTAAAGAAATTAATATTTTATAAACAAAAAACACAAAAATATAATAATTTTAAAAGTATTGTATGTTACAATACACTATAATAATTATATATTCTATATTGTATCATAAATACACATATTATACAATATAGTGTGTGTTTAATATATTTAGTTGATATCGTTTATTTAAAATTATTTTACTTTTTTATCATAATTCAAATTAGCTAGCTTTCAAAATTAACACGTTTCTCGAACATTTAATCCGAAAACCGGTTGATTTGTAATTGTCGCATATAAAAAGCTTTCTATTTAGAGAGAGAGAGGGAGAGGGGAGGGGGGAGGGAGA